GGTATTGTCTTAAGTATAATATATTGTCTGCCTCCCGGCCAAGCCTGGTTTCATTATCTGTTCCAAAGAAACAAAAAAAGTTGGGAAGTTGGTGAGCCTATGATGTATCAAGAATGTCATTTATTCTTGTGCTGGGTAAATACTAAGAGTGAGGCTTAAGCTGAACACTTCTCTCATGGCGTAGCACCTTAGGACTACTGTTCTGTCTGCTTTTCCTAACAGAGAGAACCGGTGGTGAAGAACCATATGGAGGCAAGCTGCAGGGAGTGAATGTTTTAGTGCCCATATGTCAATAGCATTGGTAAGTAAGGAGGTTACAGCGCTTTGGTGAGGGCTGCCGTCTGTTTTTCTCATTGAGGTCGAATACAAATTCCCTGACTTGGGAGACAAAGGGAAGATGCCCTGCTTCATGACTGGCCCCCCTTACATTACGTGAAAGCATGCGTGCCACGCTGGCTAATGAGGCAAAGAGAAGGAATGAAGGTGGGGGGAAGTCAGAGTCCTGTGAGCCTCCTTGTTTCCTTCCCACCTTCAGAAACTGCATTTGTTTATTTTGAGTTGTGTTTTGGATGTTTTTTGCGATCAATGAAACTGGAGTTAATACTATCTGTAGTCTTTCTGCTTGCTAGCAAGGTTCTTCTCTCAGGATGAAGGTAAGTGTAAATTCACAGAAAAGAAAGTTTCAATTCTGTTTCTGACAAGAACTTTGAGACAAGTTTCCAATCTGGAGAGAGAGAGGTCAGCTGTGTTTGTAGGTCCAAAGATTAGATGCAAGAATTCAAGCCTTTAGAGTAACAACCAAGAGATCAGGTACTCATGGGTTTGTTACTACGCATTATTTATTCAAGTATGACACAAAGGTTTTTTGGCATAACTTCAAGTGGCAATATGAATACCAGAGTCTCATAGCGTGAACCCACAGAAGCAAGTATTAATGGGTGATTAATTCTTAAATTTGGTATAGTAATACCTCTCAAGTAGTTTTTTGTTTGTTTCTCTGTTTTTAAAAAGAAAAAGTCATGTGTAACTGGAAAGGAAACTGAATCTCTCCATTATCCAGTTAGGACTCTCCAGCCTTCCAAGTGTCCATGTTAACACATTTTAGTCAACACAGGCATATTTTGTCAAAACTCACAGGGAATGCTGACTCAGGGTAAGGCAAAACCCAGAAGGCATTGAACTAATTGTGCAATGCTTTATGTGGAGAAATGACTTCCCAATCCCTGCATTAGCTGCCAGTGCTTTGAAACGTGGTGTTTGAATATCTCCATTGTGTACTTATCAGCCAGATAAAAATATTAAAGCTTATAACTTGTAATATCCACATTTTTATAGATATATTTATATTCAGATTTAACTATTGTATTCAGTTCCTCTTCTCTCTTTTTACACAATATTGTCCCTTTCAACAAGGGGTTATTCTCACACATACTTTCAGATTCCTTAATGTTTAAAATGTCATCCACCACCTCAAGGCATTCATTTCTACTGTGAACTCCTTGTTCTGAGAGATGCTGAGTAGTGCCTGTGTAGCTGGAAAACTGTGCAATGAATTTCTAACACACTGAGCTGTTTGAGCTGACTGAAATGCAAGCTGTAAACAGATAGTGAAAATGGCTCCAAGTCCGTAAGTTTGGGAACATTATGCAGCTTTATTAACCTGAGGCTTTGTAAGCAATATAGACTATTAATAGCATATCTGATTGTCTCGAAATGGATGAGGTTAATACCAAAGTTTACCCCAGAGTGTTTTGCCATGATCCCAGGAATATGGCTTTTGAACCAAACTGTTGATGAGAACTAGCCACAAAATTCATTTTCACAGAGTAGGCTGAATGGTCAGTTCTATATCAAAAGTACGTTTATGTTTGGGAGCAAAAGATGTGTCCCATGGTGGGAATATCTTGGAGCCTTGCAGGCAGGAGCCTTGTCCTCCTTCTGCAGAAACTTGGAGAGGGTCTGGCAGAGACCCAAAGACCCTCGGACACATACATCCCTATAGGGTTCTGCACATCAGGATTTCTAGAAGGACTGCATTTTATACCACTAGATGCCAGAGGGGGCCTCTGGGGAGGTTTTATTATACCCCTGATTTTTATTCCTGTTAAAGACCACCTATACTTTTGGCTAGCTGGCAGACTCATAATGCAGCGGGGTTGAACAAGTGTCAGTTTAATTTCCACACAGTTGTAGTGTCACATTTTTGGAGGTGAGCAAAGGGACAGGTACAGGGAATGAAGTACACAAACGTACCACAGAATGGATCTGTACCTGTAATAGGACATTAACTGTGCCAATCTACAGAAGTATACTTGAAAGTCCTGTTTGTTTAGGTTAACACCAAGATGTGGTTTTGCCAAGTGCTTACAGCCAATGGAGATTCAGTTCCTGGGGTGTGCAATACAGCGTATGGTGGTATTTCAGAGCTTGCCAGTGTATAGAAGGCTCATTGCATTGCAGAGGGTTTATTCACTTAGGCAGAAGATGTCCGAATAGATCCAAACGGGTATTTTTTTCCTGTGCTGCCTTGGATAACAAGGTTAAGAAAAAAACAGTGACAATTTAAATAAATCAGATGTTTTTGCTGAAGATTATGCTGTCATTTTCTCCAATTATTCTTGACATTTCACCCATTCGCATTGTGATCTGAGTTAATAATGGAAGAAAAAGCAGCTCTTGTTGCCTTGTTTATTCTTTGTTCTCAAGGAGATAAGCTGTTTATAAAGATAAGTTATTTGTTATTTAAATCACTTTTACTGAAATTGTTTGTTTCCTTGTTTGAGTTTCTAAAAATATTGCAACAATTGCGATGCATCTTTGAGACGCCTATTCAATTCACTATGATTTGTACTGGAATTCATTCCTAAATGGGCACAGGTGTTGATAGCTGTAACATGCTAGAATGAGTCAAAACCAATAAATGCTCAATAAAGGAAAGATGAAAGAAAATGCACTGAAAACAGCTCTTTTAAGATGTGATAAATTGGCACTGTAGTTCACTACTTAATTAGGTATATAGCACTGAAGACGCGTCTGGAGCAACTATGTGCTTTAAAACAGCTGAACATGTTAGAACGTAACTTTAATCACCATTAATATTTTCAATATCAAAACCATTCTTTTAAAAATTAGCAATACTATTTAGGATATAATCAACTTTTGTTTGCAAGCAGTTCTATAGTGCCCTGATGCAACATTTTGCTATACTCCTTATAAGAAAACCCAAAGTTGAATAATAGTCTGAAAATTATTTGCTCACTTTCTCATGTTGAAAAGAAATTTAACTCCAAAATAAGGTACAGGAGTTAGGATGTTGCAAACTCAGAAGTCAGTTAAAGCATTTCCTTTGCACTTTTACCATGAGCTGACATTTTGTTACCTATTTCTTGCCCAGTGCTCTCCGTAGGCAACATCTGAAGCCCCGTCCAGACCTTTCTGCTGCATTTCTGATGGGAATGGGGGGCCAGCCAGCGAACAGGCAAGCGTTATGGTTAGCGATGCCCGAGTGCCCTTCCCTTGGAGCGTAGGCTTTTTGCATTGTGCCTTTCTGTCAGAAGAGCTTGGTAGTCCCGATGCAGGTGGTTGGGTAACACAGTCAGGTACCTACCGAACGAGGCAGGCGGTCGGCGTTCTCCCCAGGGGCTCTCAGGAGCCCCGCGTGGGTATCTGAACTGATGCTGCCAAGGACAAGGCTTACCGTGTGCTAAGCACGCACCAGCCCTGCGGGGCCGAATCAGCCTCTAGATTTTGCATTATCTTCAGGGAAATATGCTTTTACGTTAACGTATCTTGCCGTTGCGGTTTAAATGTATGTTCATAGGTATCAAGGTGTTTGTGCCTCTTTATGTGCAGATAGGCTGTAACTCTGGCCAGGAATATTTGTCCTTAATATTTTACAAATATTTGTCATTAGTATTTTATGGTCCATGCTTTCAAAGATAAACAATGCAAGCTAGAAATCATCGACAAATGCAAATTCGGTTGCCAAAACTCCTCAGTGACAGCCAAGCTGGCCCGAAAGCTGCTGCATCGCATACAGCCACAGTGCAGCACGGTACAAATCATAGGTGACAAGCAAGTTGTCTGGAAAATTTGAGTGCGTGGATACGGCAGTAGGGTACCATAAATGGCACCAGCGTGGCGCTCGGTGGGTCGGTAAAGTGCGACTTGTGCCGAGCGGCCGGAGCGCGGCCCTGGGGCGGGTGCGGCCGGCTCTGCCTTCTCTGCTCGCCGCCCGGCTCCCCGGGGGCTGCCTCACAGCTTGCGGCTCGGTTTGGGGGGCAAGGGGAGGGAG